AAAACAAATCAATTAACCAATATTATCAATTCAAACTCTTTGTTCTACTTTGCTCTGTGCTACAATCCATGGAAGTCTCATGCCAACCCTAAAAGTTAACGCCCTGGGCGGTTGCCCATATTTCTCATATCAGAAACCACCATTGTCTGCACTATTAAACATAGCAATTAAGGCAATGCACTAGTGGTAAACAACGCTCCATCATGAACACAGACCAAGGAGCAACAAGCAGAAATAACCAAACACTGTGACAGTTCTCAGTTTTTCTCCTCCTGCATGAAGCCAGGCAGCACAGAACTATCACAGAGCAATGAGCATGCTCTGTGTGCTCTGGTTTTATTGATTCACCAATTAAATTAATATCAATGTATATCAATTAAAATAATGACAGCTACTGCAGCTGTTTCGTACCTATCCGGTGCAAGATGATCTTGGGTATCCGGGTAAAATCCATCAGTCTGCGCTGATCGTCCTTCTCTTCCTCCATCTTAACGTTGATTTCTTTCCACTCTGTGAATGTTTCTTCAGCAGGAGTTTCCTGCTGCTTGATAAACTCTCTGAGGCTGAACTGAAGACATTTTTACTGAAAACACAGAAACATTTAACTAAACTGCAAAACAGTCTTCAAGAGGAAAAGTAAAGCCAGACATTTGCTCTGTTTTTATTTTTCACGTGTTTCACTGTTGCTGTGCTGAAGAAACTGGAAGTGATTATTAGTTTGGCTTTAAATTTTCTGCTGAGTCTCTTCTTTTAAAGTCCTGGAGGGCTGATGCCCTGAAACCTTTAGCTGAGCCTCTGCTGCACCACCTGAATAGAGTAATTAGGTCATTAAGGCTCTGCAGATCTGATCCACACAAGGAGGAGGTAATTATGGTGATTTCATTGCAGTGTTTTGTACCTGTGGCTCATCTAAACACTGCAGGTCACCTTGAGGACTGGAGTTTGACTCCTGTGGTTTAGTCAGAACTCCTGCTGAAGAAACATCCACAGAGTGGAAATGAATCAACGTTAAGATGGAGGAAGAGATGAACGATCAGCTCAGATCAGTCTGGAAAAACACTGATGATGACAATAACTGATTGATTACCTTGGTAACTAAGAGTGATAGCAAATTAGAGTAAATTCTTTCTGATTCATTTCCTTTTTTCCATTACTATTCATTCAGTTCCTCAGTTGATCCGAGTGAAACACAGTATAATTTTTTCAAGTCATTTTAATTAATTATTAAGTTTTATGTTTTTTTAAACGCATTTACTAACGTTTTTTAAAATATATGTAAAATGTTTATATTAAACTTTCAATGTATAATAAAAACATTTTAAATCAGAAATGTGACACAGAAGCCCCTTTATGCTGCCACCTACTGACAAGAACCTGGTACTACACCTTCAAAGAGCTATTTTTCTACAGTCTGTGCGACTGAATTCATTTCCATGGATTTCATATGCAGGAGTATGTTTAAACAGTCATGTTCAATAACATGGAATCAGACCAACAACAAAAAAATTGTATTTCATAAATGTGTGTTTGAAGTCAGTTATCTATTGTGAGACGTTTTTTTTAATTTTATTTCAAATGTTCAAGTTGAATACATTACTCTAAACCACATGTGGCTTCATACTGTTTAACTTTAAAAATGAATCAGAACCTACAAACTAAAACCTCCTGTGTCGATATAATAACTGTACGTGCTTTGTTCTAATTAAACAGATCTAATCATGCTCAATAAATTAAAATATGAAAGAAAATGTGGTATATTAAAGCGGAACTTTTGAATCGTTCAGTTTCTTCAGTACAGTTCCAGTGAAACACGGGGAACATTTCTGAATATATTTTTTATTTAATAAATCACCTTAAGAAAACGAAATTGGTAGAAAGAATATTTTATTTATAATAATAATAATAATAATAATAATAATAATAATAATAATAATAATAATAATAATAATAATAATAATAATAATAATAATAATAATAATAATAATAATTTTTTGGGTGCGGGAGAATATTTATGTAGCATCCCGTTTCACACTCCATTCCAGTAGATGGCGGTAATTCACATCAATAAGTTTCTTGCCAACCGCCATGAAAAAAAGAAGAAGAAGAAGAAGAAAGCGGGAAAGATGAAAACAGAGCACGCGGGCTCGCTTTAGCTTTTCCTTTGATAGACGGTTGTTGAAGAAGAGTTTGAGGTTCAACTAATTTTTTCCGTGTTTTCAGTGAAAATGTCTTCAGTTCAGCCTCAGAGAGTTTATCAAGCAGCAGGAAACTCCTGCTGAAGAAACATTCACAGAGTGGAAAGAAATCAACGTTAAGATGGAGGAAGAGATGGACGATCAGCGCAGACTGATGGATTTTACCCGGATACCCAAGATCATCTTGCACCGGATAGGTACGAAACAGCTTCACGGTTTACTGATTAGTGAGGTTAAAGAGAGTTTTTACAGATAAATAATCGTTCTGTTCGTAGACATATTTAAAGAATCTGCTTAAATTAAGTAAAAATAGAAAATCCCTGGAGAAATGTAACCAGGGCCTGCTAAAGTGTGGCCCCAGTTTGGACCCAGCGCTCTGATTCTAACAATCAGCATCAATACTAAGCTAAACTGAATTATAGTCAATAACCTGTGGAAAGTCACAAGCATGTTGACTAACATGGACTTCCTCCATTCAGTTTGTTAAAATTAGTGTATAATCTAAAATGAGCCAAAATGCTAATGTTAGCCTAAATGCTGCTAGTAGCATGTGAGGCATCATTACAATGTGGTCTTACATTGACTTCCTGCATTCAGGGTCCTAAACATGGCTAATAAGTAATAAAAATAGCTAGAAGCTTATTGCAGGGAAAAGGCTGATGCTTGTGCAGCAAAGCAGAGCCCTAACCTGAGAGGAAAAGATCATGCAGGCTAATATTATTGCACTGTCTCTGAGTCGGTTTCTCTTCGCAATATTTATTAACCTATTTGTATGATTTGTTCTGTAAATTGCCATTCATATTATTTCTCAGTCTTTATCACTGAGGGATGAAGAGACTGATGTCTGGTTCTTTAGGTTCTGACGGGTCTGCGGTTCCTCTCCTGACCCACTGTGCACCCTGAATATCGCCGACACAGTTTTTTAATTCCCCTATCAAACTTCTCTGTGATTGTTTAGCCTAGAATGTGCATCTTCCAATGTTATGTTATTTGATGTTATTGTTACAGGTCAGTTTTCTAAACTACAAAGAAATGACTGTTAGGGATGCTCCAATATGAAAAATTGGATTGATATTGATATCTGATAGTAACACTGGTGTTATAGCAGATTTACCAATATTTTATTTATATACGTTTTTAATCCGATTACTTGATTAATCATAAGAATAATTAATAGATTACTCAGTTACTGAAATATTTGTTTACAGCAACGCTACTATCCATCCAGTTATCACTAGAAAATATTTATTGACTTTCTCTTTTATCTTGTCACATATGCTGAGCTGACAGCGCCTCTTAATGCTCATTTGTACTCAATGCATGTCAGCTATTCTGACAGAATAAGGGCTCAAATTTAAGTTAAAGAAGGTCAGTGTTAGACCCGCCCAAAGCCGCGCCCTCCACTTTCATTGGGGAATTATTTATGGTGACACGACAGGAAGTGGATCCAGGTGATAATAATGATCACAACAATCAAAAGCATATTTAGTAACTGTCTTGTCTGGCTGCTAAATTTCCATTTTCATAATGTAAACTTAGTAAATGACTTATTAACTAACTTGTGTCTTAAATAAACTCGTTAAATAATTTTATCATTGTACATTTTCACCTTTCATATTTAATCTTCCAAATTGTCCAATATTCATGTCAAATATTTTCAATTGGTTCATTTTGCCATTATTTTCTGCATGTGTGCGATTAACAACAATCACCCACTGCTACCAATTCTGCTGTGAATCCCAGGAAAGTAAAGGCTGAGATTTAGTTGTGCTTTTGAACGTTTGTGTTGAGTGTGTGAGCGGAGCAATGTCTGACAATATCAGCGGGTGAGATTAAAAATTACTTTATGGTTTCCCTTTAGGCATTTTATGTCACTCTTTAATGTGATATATATCTGGTGACATATAATGGGTGCACTTCCCCTGCGCCCATTACAGGCACACAGCCCGCATCACCACCAGTGTTGGTCCACAATCTCCCAGTCGGATTGCGACACCGTGTGTGTGGTCAGGGTACATGTCCAAAAGTCAGATGACCTGAACATCTGACTCCTCCTCCATGTAGGTGTCTTCTTCCTCTCTCTACATGGAGGAAGAAGATTTTATGTAATATTTGTCAGGAAGCTACTAGATTAAGCGATTGCCATCTTATTTGCTCACCTGGAGATCCTTAATATCATATTTTGACTCAAGAATAGTTCCAGTCTGGTCATTAGAATGGAGCAATGACCAGAATGAAACTAGTTCTGGTCATAGTTCCATTCTAGAACATCCAATGTTCTAGAACATAGAACGTTAACTTATTGGTTGAGTTAATGTTCATTCTTGTAAGATTGTAATTTTAGATTAACCTAAGAAAATCCTGTTTCGATACATAAAGGCATGTAAGTGGATTTCTTGTTTGATTGACATTTAAAAAACTTTTTTTTTTGTCTATTTCCCAGATCTTCCACAATGTTGTGTGTGTGAAGAAGAGGAGATTCTCAATGACACAAAACCACAGAGGAACCAACTCATCTCTCATGGCTCTGCAGAAACTGAACCAGAATCAGGAAGGAAGCAATTCTGAAGACCCAGGAAAAAAGAGAAAGGAAGAACAGAAACCAAAGGAGAGATATGAGAAAACCAAACAGCAGAAAGACAGAACTGATGCTGAGAAACAAAAAAACCGCAGAAGAAAACTCACAAAGGGCAAAAAATATATTCTTGTAAAATTTGTGATAAAACCTTTTCTGGAAACAGTAACTTGAAGACACACATGAGAATTCACACAGGAGTAAAACCTTTCACTTGTTCAACCTGTGGGAAAAGTTACAGTCAAAAACATGTTTTAATCTGTCATATGAGAATTCACACAGGTGAGAAGCCTTTCACTTGTTCAACCTGTGGAAAGAGTTTCAGTGACAGAGGGACTTTAACTCGGCATATGAGAATTCATACAGGTGAGAAGCCTTTCTCATGTGGGACCTGTGGAAAGAGTTACAGACAAAAAACGATTTTAACTTGGCATATAAGAATTCACACAGGTGAGAAGCCTTTCACTTGTGGGACCTGTGGAAAGAGTTTCAGTGTAAAAACGAATTTAACTAGGCATATGAGAATTCACACTCGTGAGAGGCCTTTCACTTGTTCAACCTGTGGAAAGAGTTTCAGTGACAGAGGGACTTTAACTACGCATATGAGAATTCACACAGGTGAGAAGCCTTTCACTTGTTCAACCTGTGGAAAGAGTTTCAGTGACAGAGGGACTTTAACTAGGCATATGAGAATTCACACAGGTGAGAAGCCTTTCACTTGTTCAAACTGTGGAAAGAGTTTCAGTGACAGAGGGACTTTAATTAAACATATGAGAATTCACACAGGTGAGAAGCCTTTCACTTGTTCAAACTGTGGAAAGAGTTTCAGTGTCAGAGGGACTTTAACTCAGCATATGAGAATTCACACAGGTGAGAAGCCTTTCTGGTGTGAGACCTGTGGAAAGAGTTTCAGTGTCAGAGGGACTTTAACTCGGCATATGAGAATTCACACAGGTGAGAAGCCTTTCACTTGTTCAACCTGTGGAAAGAGTTTCAGTGTAAAAGCGAATTTAACTGCGCATATGAGAATTCATACAGGTGAGAAGCCTTTCTCATGTGGGACTTGTGGAAAGAGTTACAGACAAAAAACGACTTTAACTAGGCATATGAGAATTCACACAGGTGAGAAGCCTTTCTGGTGTGAGACCTGTGGAAAGAGTTTCAGTGTCAGAGGGACTTTAACTCGGCATATGAGAATTCATACAGGTGAGAAGCCTTTCTCATGTGGGACCTGTGGAAAGAGTTTCAGGATGAAACAACAATTACTTAAACACATAAAGATTCATATGGGTGCGAAACAGTGACGTGCGGTGAGGCTTTACGATGTATAAATGCAGACACCATGTATGTTATTGGTTACTCAGAAATTTTGCTCATGCATACAACGCTGGAGGGCAGAAAGACCGTTCTTTTACACGTCATCCATAGCTGTAGTAACCAGGTGAAACTTAGAAATGTAGGTATTGTTTCGTGTTATGATCCACAGCAAAGGGAGAAACCTAAACCACTTTCTCACTCTGCATCACCCAAGCTACATGCAGACTCGTTGCAATAGCAACTGATAACAATGCCATGTTTTAGGATTTAACATAAAAAAATAAAGAATTTTGGTCACAGAACAGAACATTGAGTTTTTTGCAGTAGTTTGTTTTAGTCTTAGTGTTTTATTAATAAATCATTGCTGTGGTAGATTAGCTAACATTTCTACTTTACTGAATTCTTTAGACATACAGACTGTGGCCCACAAAATGCACATTTCTTTAAAAAAAACTAAACAAAAACATGTTTTTTCCCATCTTACCTTTACTTATAAATTAAATCCATAACAATTCTGCACAAAAATATCCATTCATCCAAAGCCAAGTCGATGCTCTGAATGTCTTGTACTAAGATAGACTTGAGGTCCATTTTTGTCTACCAGCTTGTTTTTCTAAAATCAGTTTTTTGTTTTATTTCTCAGTCACATTTGTACTTAAGGTTCCCATCAGTGTCCCATTAGATACTGAAGTTAAAGAGGGGAATGTCTTCAGGAAGGTTTAATTTCTGTGGATTTCAGGTGTCTTGCAGTTCTGTGTCATGTAGTTATTGAGTTCAGCTTTTACATTGTTGACTTTTACATGTATGACTTGAAATAAAGTATTTTACATTTTAAAGCAGTGTATTATTCTTTTTTCCCATAAATTGCTGGGTTTCAGATGATGGAGCACCGATGCCTTACCATGGAGGTGGGGGTCAGAAAGTAAATGCAGCACATTTAGGCATTTTGACTTAAACATCAAAATGTCTTAAGTCTGTGCCATGTGTGGTTGTTCCAACCATTCTAAAAGAGAGAAAGAAAAACTTTATCTTTGTGTTTTGAAGGTAGTCGGTCACAAGGAAGTTAATTTAGAAAAAAACACCTAAAAAATAGAAAAGTGGATCAACAATCTACAGCTAAAACCAGGAGGTGCAGGAAGTAATAATGCCGGAGTTTGCAGAGCCACTTTTCTAACATCATTTAAATTGTATTTTCAGATATTTTATTGGATGGTAACTTAGAAAGACAAGCATTCATATGCAGGCACATGCAGAGGGGGTCTGGAGAGGGCTTGAGCCCTGCCCCTTTTACCCTTGATGCCCCAGAGCCCTTTTTGAGTTTATTTTTGTTTTCAACTTGAGTCTTTTGTGTCAGGAGGCCTTCTTGTGCCTCTAAATATAACACCTAGCAAAACTAATGAGTCTGGCTGCCCTTGGTCTAATTATGAGGATTCCCAGTCCTTCTGCCTCCACGTTGTTCAGACACCGGGTCCGTGGCGAGGAAGAGCGGGGCTGAACTGTGACCTCTAACAGTCAAATTTTGGGCAATAATTAATTTTTTCTAACGTACACTTGTGAATAAAAACGTAGGTCTGATGTTGAAGTTATAAAACCAGTTTCTATTTATATTCTGTAATAATGTCTGGAGGGCCCCTACCAGCAGCTACTGGGTTCTCTTTGTTTACCTCGATATCTCAGCCTTATAATTCTAGATCTCAGAGGTGCTGAAATCAAATTAATGACATGTGAGAAGTTAACTGTTTATATATGAAGGTTTTCCTGATTTACTATTTGTTTCAAACAGGTTTTATTTCAGTCTCTATTTATGTAAATCGATTCTGTCACAGTCTTTGACTAAACAGAAAAATAGAAAAAGACCATCATTATGATACTTTATCATCTAAAATTATAGAAAAGTTTCAATGATTTTTTTATCTGAAATTCAATCCACATCATCAAACCATTTTGTAAGGAGAAAATTTATTTAAAACCATGTCAAAGAAATGCATCCATTTCTCCAAATCATTAAAATAAAAATATGTACAAAGGATAAAAACACAATAAAGACTCCAAAATTTCAGAAGTCTAAATCTCAAAGCATTCAAACTCATTGTTTGTTAGACAATCTCTCCCTCAGTCTCATTCAATAAAATGGAAATATAAAACTGGAAGAATAAAATTTTTAAGAATTTCAGCTAAATATCCAGATTAAAATGCTTTGTAAGCAAAACCTGCTACATTTAAGAATTTAAGTCGGTTGCAATTACTCCACTTCCAAACAGCAACTTACTGAGAATCTTGAGGTTCACATTGTGCCATCAAACCTGTGCAAGTTCTCATGTGAACAGTTACATTTGTTTTGAGTGAACCTTTTTCTACCGAATCTACAAAATAAAAGCTTCCAACCCGTGTGAATCTTCATGTGATGACTTAAACTGGATCTATACACAAAACATTTTCCTCGCTTTTCACTAAGGGTGCAGACATGACATGGTGAGCTGGTCTAATAGTCAAACCTCACAGCGGAGAACAGAACAGTGGCTGAGGTCAATAACGTTGAGGAATCAGATCAGCTTCACATGCATGTATCTGCTGCTCACCAATGTCCCAAAATTAAGGAAATCAACATTTATTAATCAGCCAGCTGATAAATCAATGCACAGCTACTTCTCACCAGTGTGAATTCTGTTGTGATAAGTTAAGTGCTGTTTTTGAGTAAAACTTTTTCCACAAATCCCACATGAGAAAGGCTTCTCACCAGTGTGAATTCTCCTGTGACGTTCTAAACTTTTTTTATAAGGGAAACTTTTCCCACAAATCACACATGAGAAAGGCTTCTCACCTGTGTGAATTCTGTTGTGAGAAGTTAAGTGTTGTTTTGACTGAAACCCTTTTCACAAATCCCACATGAGAAAGGTTTCTCACCTGTGTGAACTCTGATGTGAATAGCTAACAGAGGTTTCCTCCGGAAACGTTTCCCACAGGTCTCACAAGAGAACGGTTTCTCACCTGTATGAATCTCAATATGAGCAAGTAAACGAGATTTAAACAAAAAACTTTTCCCACAGGTTGTGCAGGTGTAAGGTTTCTCACCCGAATGAATTCTCTTGTGTCTGTTTAAAGAGTCGTTTAGACGGAAACCTTTTCCACAAGCTGGACAAGTGAATGGTTTTTCACCTGTATGAATTCTCATGTGATCAATTAAACGACTCTCTTTAGGGTAACGTTTTCCACAGGTGGAACATTTGAAAGGTTTCTTAGCCATGTGAGTTTTCTTGTGATTCATCAAGGAATTACTTTGAGAAAAGGTTTCATCACAAATTTGACAAGAATATAGATTTTGGTCTGGTTGAGCTTTCATGTGTGTTTCTTGTTCTGAAGTCTCTGTTGAGTTTTTCTGCTGTTTGTTCAAAATGTCATCAGTTTCCTGTTTCATCACAAGATGCTCTTCATCCTGACTAATGCAAAGTTGCTCCTCTTCCTCTTTGATCTGCAGAGGTTCTGGTTCCTTTTGTTCCTGTTTTATCTGCAGAGGTTCTGGTTCTGGTTCCTCTTGTTCCAGTTTCATCTGCAGAGGTTCTGGTTCTGGTTCCTCTTGTTCCAGTTTCATCTGCAGAGGCTCTGGTTCTGGTTCCTCTTGTTCCAGTTTCATCTGCAGAGGTTCTGGTTCCTCTTGTTCCAGTTTCATCTGCAGAGGTTCTGGTTCCTCTTGATCCAGTTTCATCTGCAGAGGTTCTGGTTCCTCTTGTTCCAGTTTCATCTGCAGAGGTTCTGGTTCCTCTTGTTCCAGTTTCATCTGCAGAGGTTCTGGTTCCTCTTGATCCAGTTTCATCTGCAGAGGTTCTGGTTCTGGTTCCTCTTGTTCCAGTTTCATCTGCAGAGGCTCTGGTTCTGGTTCCTCTTGTTCCAGTTTCATCTGCAGAGGTTCTGGTTCCTCTTGATCCAGTTTCATCTGCAGAGGTTCTGGTTCTGGTTCCTCTTGTTCCAGTTTCATCTGCAGAGGCTCTGGTTCTGGTTCCTCTTGTTCCAGTTTCATCTGCAGAGGTTCTGGTTCCTCTTGTTCCAGTTTCATCTGCAGAGGTTCTGGTTCCTCTTGATCCAGTTTCATCTGCAGAGGTTCTGGTTCCTCTTGTTCCAGTTTCATCTGCAGAGGTTCTGGTTCCTCTTGATCCAGTTTCATCTGCAGAGGTTCTGGTTCTGGTTCCTCTTGTTCCAGTTTTATCTGCAGAGGTTCTGGTTCCTCTTGTTCCAGTTTCATCTGCAGAGGTTCTGGTTCTGGTTCCTCTTGTTCCAGTTTTATCTGCAGAGGTTCTGGTTCCTCTTGATCCAGTTTCATCTGCAGAGGTTCTGGTTCTGGTTCCTCTTGTTCCAGTTTTATCTGCAGAGGTTCTGGTTCCTCTTGATCCAGTTTCATCTGCAGAGGTTCTGGTTCTGGTTCCTCTTGTTCCAGTTTTATCTGCAGAGGTTCTGGTTCCTCTTGTTCCAGTTTCATCTGCAGAGGTTCTGGTTCCTCTTGTTCCAGTTTTATCTGCAGAGGTTCTGGATGATCTTGATCTGAAGTGAAGTTTCTCTCCGTGTTTCTTATCTCATTTAGATCCTCCTCCTCTTTGCACACACTGCATTGTGGGAAATCTGGAAAAAAAAAGTCAAAATGTGAGGTCACACAATGAACCCATCAGTTTAATTAAAAACTAAAATGAAAATATTCTTCATCAGGTGGCGTGCTGGTAGCGCAACCCACGATTGGAGGCCTTCAATCCTCCACACGGCCGTCACGGGTTTGATTTCCGGACCAGACGATATTTGCCGCATGTCTTTCCTTACTACATTCCTGTCAGCCTTCTTTCTTATAAGGGACACTAGAGCCCACAGAAACCCCCAAGAGAGGAAAATGTAATTCTCAGCAAAACATTACAAA